AAGAGTGTAGGTGATACTAGCAGACAAAGAGTGTAGGTGATACTAGCAGACAAAGAATGGAGGTGATACTAGCAGACAAAGAGTGTAGGTGATACTAGGAGACAGAGTGGAGGTGATACTAGCAGACAAAGAGTGTAGGTGATACTAGCAGACAAAGAGTGTAGGTGATACTAGCAGACAAAGAGTGTAGGTGATACTAGCAGACAAAAAGTGTAGGTGATACTAGCAGACAAAGAGTGTAGGTGATACTAGCAGACAAAGAGTGGAGGGGATACTAGGAGACAGAGTGTAGGTGATACTAGGAGACAAAGAGTGTAGGTGATACTAGGGATTGTAGGTGATACTAGCAGACAAAGGGTGTAGGTGATACTAGCAGACAAAGAGTGTAGGTGATACTAGCAGACAAAGAGTGTAGGTGATACTAGCAGACAAAGGGTGTAGGTGATACTAGCAGACAAAGAGTGGAGGTGATACTAGGAGACAGAGTGTAGGTGATACTAGAAGACAAAGAGTGTAGGTGATACTAGCAGACAGAGAGTGTAGGTGATACTAGCAGACAAAGAGTATAGGTGATACTAGCAGACAAAGAGTGTAGGTGATACTAGCAGACAAAGAGTGGAGGTGATACTAGGAGACAGAGTGTAGGTGATACTAGAAGACAAAGAGTGTAGGTGATACTAGGAGACAAAGAATGTAGGTGATACTAGCAGACAAAGAGTGTAGGTGATACTAGGAGACAAAGAGTGGAGGCGATACTAGCAGACAAAGAGTGTAGGTGATACTAGCAGACAAAGAGTGTAGGTGATACTAGCAGACAAAGAGTGGAGGGGATACTAGGAGACAGAGTGTAGGTGATACTAGGAGACAAAGAGTGTAGGTGATACTAGGGATTGTTGGTGATACTAGCAGACAAAGGGTGTAGGTGATACTAGCAGACAAAGAGTGTAGGTGATACTAGCAGACAAAGAGTGTAGGTGATACTAGCAGACAAAGAGTGTAGGTGATACTAGCAGACAAAGAGTGTAGGTGATACTAGCAGACAAAGAGTATAGGTGATACTAGCAGACAAAGAGTGTAGGTGATACTAGCAGACAAAGAATGGAGGTGATACTAGCAGACAAAGAGTGTAGGTGATACTAGGAGACAGAGTGGAGGTGATACTAGCAGACAAAGAGTGTAGGTGATACTAGCAGACAAAGAGTGTAGGTGATACTAGCAGACAAAGAGTGTAGGTGATACTAGCAGACAAAGAGTGTAGGTGATACTAGCAGACAAAGAGTGTAGGTGATACTAGCAGACAAAGAGTGTAGGTGATACTAGCAGACAAAGAGTGTAGGTGATACGAGCAGACAAAGAATGGAGGTGATACGAGCAGACAAAGAGTGTAGGTGATACTAGCAGACAAAGAGTGTAGGTGATACTAGCAGACAAAGAATGGAGGTGATACTAGCAGACAAAGAGTGTAGGTGATACTAGCAGACAAAGAATGGAGGTGATACTAGCAGACAAAGAGTGTAGGTGATACTAGCAGACAAAGAATGGAGGTGATACTAGCAGACAAAGAGTGTAGGTGATACTAGCAGACAAAGAGTGTAGGTGATACTAGCAGACAAAGAATGGAGGTGATACTAGCAGACAAAGAGTGTAGGTGATACTAGGAGACAGAGTGGAGGTGATACTAGCAGACAAAGAGTGTAGGTGATACTAGCAGACAAAGAGTGTAGGTGATACTAGCAGACAAAGAGTGTAGGTGATACTAGCAGACAAATAGTGGAGGGGATACTAGGAGACAGAGTGTAGGTGATACTAGGAGACAAAGAGTGTAGGTGATACAAGGGATTGTAGGTGATACTAGCAGACAAAGGGTGTAGGTGATACTAGGAGACAAAGAGTGTAGGTGATACTAGGAGACAGAGTGTAGGTGATACTAGCAGACAAAGAGTGTAGGTGATACTAGGAGACAGAGTGTAGGTGATACTAGCAGACAAAGGGTGTAGGTGATACTAGCAGACAAAGGGTGTAGGTGATACTAGCAGACAAAGAGTGTAGGTGATACTAGCAGACAAAGGGTGTAGGTGATACTAGCAGACAAAGAGTGGAGGTGATACTAGGAGACAGAGTGTAGGTGATACTAGCAGACAAAGAGTGTAGGTGATACTAGCAGACAAAGAGTGTAGGTGATACTAGCAGACAAAGAGTGTAGGTAATACTAGCAGACAAAGAGTGTAGGTGATACTAGCAGACAAAGAGTGTAGGTGATACTGGCAGACAAAGAGTGTAGGTGATACTAGCAGACAAAGAGTGTAGGTGATACTAGCAGACAAAGAGTATAATTGATACTAGCAGATAAAGAGTGTAGGTGATACTAGCAGACAAAGAGTGTAGGTGATACTAGCAGACAAAGAATGGAGGTGATACTAGCAGACAAAGAGTGTAGGTGATACTAGGAGACAGAGTGGAGGTGATACTAGCAGACAAAGGGTGTAGGTGATAAAAGCAGACGAAGAGTGTAGGTGATACTAGCAGACAAAGAGTGTAGGTGATACTAGCAGACAAAGAGTGTAGGTGATACTAGCAGACAAAGAGTGTAGGTAATACTAGCAGACAAAGAGTGTAGGTGATACTAGGAGACAAAGAGTGTAGGTGATACTAGGGATTGTAGGTGATACTAGCAGACAAAGGGTGTAGGTGATACTAGCAGACAAAGAGTGTAGGTGATACTAGCAGACAAAGAGTGTAGGTGATACTAGCAGACAAAGAGTGGAGGTGATACTAGGAGACAGAGTGTAGGTGATACTAGAAGACAAAGAGTGTAGGTGATACTAGGAGACAAAGAATGTAGGTGATACTAGCAGACAAAGAGTGTAGGTGATACTAGGAGACAAAGAGTGGAGGCGATACTAGCAGACAAAGAGTGTAGGTGATACTAGAAGACAAAGAGTGTAGGTGATACTAGAAGACAAAGAGTGTAGGTGATACTAGCAGACAAAGAGTGTAGGTGATACTAGGGAGTGTAGGTGATACTAGTAGATATGGAGATCGGGTGATGTAACGGTAGTTTACAAGCAGTCAAGAATTTTGTTTTAGTTGTGTAATCATCTGTTATCTATTTCGTAAACGTTATTATACAATTCTTTCGCACCTGTTGATTACTTACATCATGCTCACATTTATTTCAGCGCCTGTGGTTTATATAGCGGTAATTTGCTTAAATCAGTGTTTTGATCTATTAAAAAAAAACAATTGTATTGAATCAACGGTTGATTCTCAAATTAGCCACTGAATACTTATTCCATATCGTATATGACTACCCGACACATTCCTACTCGAGGCTATGTAAGTAGATATTATAAGTATACGACAGCTTGCCCCCACACCGAACCTGGAAAGTAACATCTATACTCAATTAACTTTTTAAAAACTTATTTTTCAACAAGTCTAATTATAAAAAAACATGTATAACAAAACGGCTTTTAAGCCTGCCAAAAAAAAATAATAAAAATATCATACTTTGTCTTTAGATTTAATATTTAAAATTAAAATATTATAGATTTTGAAACCTTTTCATATGTTCTCAACGAACTTTTTTATTTTCAGTTGTAATTAATGTCAAACAACTGATTGTTGTGTGATTGAAAAGGCATATTATGATTTATTTAGTTTTATATTTGGGTATTTTATTTAAAGAAAGATAATGTTTAAAATCCATAGCATATTAAATAGTTTTATTGTTGCTTTCCTTTGACCGTAAAAATGTCAATGCGATGGTAACATTTTATTAAAACCTGGTTAAGCTATAATACAGTAAGAAGAAGAAGACATTCGGATAGGAAACCAGTTTAAATCACATATGTAGGCCTCTATGATGCGCGTAACCTCGGTTAAGTAGAAAGTTAGGAGTATAGTATTTGCATTTTAAATAAATCTTGTTATAGTGTATTCTCGTTTTCAACAAGAAGATTGAACATTTTTTCTTTACGACATTTTTCTCGAGGGGACACTTTGGGGGAGAGATGTGAGGGGGGGAGGGGCGCCTTAAATTTCGAGTACTGAGAGACGAACATTCACAAATTGGTTAAGATATAAATAATACAACACCATTGCGCGTACAACGACAAAATTTTGATAAATCTGGATTTAAATTTTTTGCCCGATTAAAATAAGTCCCATATACTCAATGTATAATGAAGTACTAGGTGTAAAACGGTGAAAACAGTCGAAATTTCATGTGAATTTTTTTGCACGACTACAATGCTTCTTCTATACTAAGTAAACGAGATAAAAAAAAGTGAATTTTGCTTTAGAAAAAGTTATATTATTTTAAGCAGGTCTTTCTTCTTCTTCCATGTTCTTAATGTTGGTGTTGGAAGGGATCCGTCTCCAACAAAATTAAGGATACGTGTCAACTGGTTAAGCGACATTGAGGCCATTGACTACAATTTCAGCCTGCTTTTCTTTTTGGATTTGCTTCCATAGCCTTTGTCCAACCAAGAACAAACTACAAGGCAGCAGTTTAATTTTGGAGTTGTCTCTACTAGAAGAGTGGCTGTCTCCAGCTAACGGGCCACATCTGTCCGAGGGTTCGAACTCGAGACTTTTCTGTTTAGCAATCATGAACTTTACCGACGCGACCACGCAGACCCTCTGCAGCAAGTTATTTAGATATTTATTTTGCCCGATGCGATCAGATGCTGTAGTTTATTAATGCTAACCATATCTCAAGTTATTACAATCTTATTAAGAAACTAGTTACAAGTGATGTCAACTAATGAAAGCAGGATTTACTTTCTACATAGGACAATTTAGTGTAGAACTTTAAAATATAGGATACATGCTTTTTCGATAAAAAAAAACATCAGCCTATGTGCTGGACACCCACATACAGATTTTTAAAAAATGATAGATCTATCAGAAAATTTATTTTGCAAGTTTTATATTTAAATTATCACAATCGTAATATATTTTATAATACAAGTACCAGTTATAAGAAACTAACTTACCGATCACATAACAAAACGTTAGAAATCTTGAATATCTGACTGTCGTGGATTGGGAAACCTACTTGTGTTGGCTGATGATAGTCTAAGCCAATCGGCGAACGTCAGTCTATCTAAAAATAAAATTCGCTAACTGAGTCAAGAGGCGAGGAGGGTAAGGCGCGTTGGACGTAAAAACAGGAAGTGTGTGATTCATCTTGTGACGCAATTAGAAAAACCCAGGACAAATTTACTTCGCTTTTGCCAAGTGTCCAGCGGCGCACTGTTTTATAAAGTCCACTTAATGAAGTCATATTCACATCGGGCTTGGTTGTCAAATAGTCTACAAAATGTCAAACTTTCATGCATTTTATTGTCGATACGTTTTCATCCGAGGCATGTATTTCAATTTACCATAGATTTTCAAACCAATCAAATATTGCCAAATTTTACTGTTTCACTCGTATTTTATTCTTTCCTGTTCATCTGTAGCCTACCTTTTATACAATAGAGTGTACAGACATCTTCTAGTTTCATGAGGTAGAACGTCGATCTTACAAACCATTCAGTCCTCTCCTCAGTAACATCAGTCCATATTAAACTGCTGTATTCTCGCTTCTATACGCCTCCAACCCAACTCAAAACAGTAAAAAGCTTCTATATAGGGCTGGAGTGACTCAGCTTTTTCCTGCTATTTTTAGATACTGACGTGCAAACGCTATTTAAATGTTTCAAGCTAATGTATATTAATGGCTGAAAAAGAAAACCATGAAAGCAACATAAGAAATGTTTATTGTTTATGAATGTTGTAATAGATTTGACAGACTGAATTATTGTTCAGTATAAAGAAATATTTTAAAAATTATAGTACGATAAGTACGTTTAGTACGTAAGAGAGACCAGACAAGCCTTATAAATTGAACAATTCAACAAATAGAGTATGTTACAGTAACCTCAAAGTTAGAGAAATGTGTACACCTTTAATCTATTTGTTAGCAAACAGAAGTGTTGAGCAAAAAAAAAAAAAAAAAAAACAACAAAAAAAAAACATATAGGTCCCAGTTTACTAGGGTACTTGCCTCAGGTTATGTAAATCAAAGGGGGTTAGACATAGTGCAGACCACACTATCCCCTCATACGCCGTGGTTCATGAAATTTTACTTCATCTTTCCCATGAACCGTAAGTCTCAAAAATTTCACAAAAGTTTACATTATTATACTGCCACGAAGCTCAAAAGGTTCACAAAAGTTTACATTACTATACTGCCACTAAGCTCAAGAGTTTCACAAAAGTTTACATTACTATACTGCCACTAAGCTCAACAGTTTCACAAAAGTTTACATTACTGTACTGTCACTAAGCTCAAAAGTTTCACTGAAGTTTACATTACTATACCCCCGACCAGTTGCGTAGCCAGGATCGTCTCATGGGGGGGGGGGGGGGGTTCAAATTTTTTCCCGCATCATAAATGCATATATCAGAGGCGTAGCGCCCCTCCCCGGCCCCCGAGAACAAACTTTTGATTTGCACCCCCCCCCCCCTCAAAACTTTCATTTGCACCCCCCCCCTTTCAGACTTTCGATTTTGCACCCCCGCTCGACCTTTATGTATCTACCGAGGGGTCTATGGGAGGGGTAACCCCCTTAACCCCCCCCCCCCCCCTTGCCTACGCCACTGACTGGGACTAAGCAAATAATGATTAATCTACTCATTCATTTTGAAAACGAGGCTGATACATTTTTATCAATAATTAAAGTTCTATTTCAAAACTGACAATCTATGGGGCAAGTGAAGTAGAGTTCACTTGTTACTGTTACCTCGGCATTTGAAGGTATAGTGTGGTCAGCACTATGCCCAGCCGCCTTTACTTACCCTAACGTGAGTTAGGTACCCATCAGAGCTAGGTGGACTCAAGGACAGTCTACTGACTTGAACCCGGATTCGCCTCAAGACTTTTTTCTATTATATTCGGGATTTTTAGTTTTGTGCAATCGAACAGAGATTACTCACCACATGATGTGGCGTACGTGACGTGTACAAACGTTTAACACAACAACCCGGATGTTTGAACTATTTTAGAAGCTATTCTTCTTGATGTTAAGTGGAGTTGGCCGGCTGTGCGACATTAAATGAGACAACGAGTGTTAAAATAACGCAACGGCTAATATACTTTCTTACAAATACATTCATTTATACGTTTTCTAAATACAAGCTTAAAAATGAAATACGTTCACTAGAGCCTACAGTCCCACTAGGACATAGTAAGCAAACAAGTGGCTACCATACAACTCGGCACAGGGCTGGCTTCTACAACCGTCTTAAGATGAACACATAACTACATGGTTAACAGGGACAACATAAATGTAAATTTGGAAACGCCTTCATGTCGACCTGGTAATTGTAGCTAAAATTAGAAAAACATAACTCTCCCAGTTATATTTTAATCAGCAAGAAAGTGCAGGGATACACACTCAACATAAACGTCAGTTATTCAGATTTGGCATATTTTTATGAATTCCCAAAAGTAATAAATAATATCTCATTGAGTTTCTAATATTTTCGTTCTACACTATTTTCTTCTCCGAATTTTCGACATCCTGATTTTAGTATTCCCTTAAACCTTTTTATAGACACACCTTACAATTTTAGACCGGTCTGATAGATTTTTGTTGTTTTCACTAACAAATGCTTGTATTATTTTATCGAAATATAAGTCCAAAAATTATAATTTAAATGTAACACAATCTTTGAGTGCATTCTTTCTATAAGGCATTACATATGTCAACATGACAAGCTATAGAAGATTTTATTCTATGATAAAGCTGATACTCGATTCACTAAAATAAGGGATAAAGGAAATTTTAATTTTATGGTCGTTTTAATTTTTTTCCTTTCATAATGTTTGCAGAGAGCCTTTGATATGACGTGTTGTTAGGTTTTGTGAATGTGGTAAGAGATTTGACAGACTGAATTAGTGTTCAGTATAAAGAAATATGTTTAAAAAATTACAGTACGTTACGTTAATGCATGAGTACGTATCATATATGTTTTTGTTATCTTAGGTTTGAGGGGGGGGGGGGGGGGGTAAAGTCGATTGGTGCGGGCTGGGTCGCGTGCTGAGAAGTCACGTGGACCTGGCCATGAATTTTATGAAGATGGGTTTAGTGAACGTTGGTTGTTTGCTTTAGTATCATTGCCGGTTGTTACATAATACTTTCATCTCCTAATTTTTTAAATTGAATATAGAATTCTTTAAATTATTATTTACTATCTAATCTAAACAATGAAAAATATTTATTTATTTGGTGTTACAAATTTCTGCATCATGCTTAAATAAATTTGAGTTATAAGCCTACCATCCAACCAACAATCTCACGTACTGTTAGCATATTGATAAATATTACAAAATAAGAAAAAAAAAGTCTAATTCAAAGAGGGTCAAATTCAAAGGAAATACCGATTCATCTTTAATTATCGTAATATCACAGACCTATGTAGAATTTATAATTAATACAACGTAAAGTTGGTAAACTAGTTTAAGTCGAGACTTAAAAGTTAGTTGATAAGCTGGAAAAGAAGGGTCGGTTCTTAGATGATTCACATAAAGAATGTAACATAAAGTACAAGCTATGTGTTGATGTGGACAAGGTAACCGTTGAAGTGTTGACGCATCATTATTTTACTAATAAGGCCTGGTTATAAATATATAGAGCTTCTTTTAAAACATCCACTTTTAAATGAACTGAAGATTAAATACAGATGACACACTTTTAAGAATCAAAAAACAAATTAAATAACAATGCGTTTTATTGGTAGAAACGTCTAAATTAGTTGAACAATCGTAGGGCTAGAGAACTGGCCATAATGTTATATATAATTAGTTGTAACATATCTAGAGCAATGTAAATTTGAATTCCCATATGGTTAATGCCATTATATTCTCCTAGCATGTATACAGCTAATAAGATAAAAAAAAGGCAAGTCAAGTAGTAGTAGTAGTAACAAATATGTAATTGTACTTAGTAATAATAACCTTTATAGTCCAATCATTACATATGCAATCACTGAAATTTTTTTTGTTTAAATCGTTTCTTTAAATTTAGTTTAATGCGTTCAACTTGCTTTTTTTCTTCACAGATTCATGCCAAGACAATACCAGCGCAAGACAACGAGAGGAACATTTACGAAACATGCCATTAAGATGGCAGTTGAAGCCCATTTTGAAGGAAAGTCGCTCCGTAAAGTTGTATCCGACTGTGGGGTTAATTAAAACATCCTTCAATGCTATGTAAAGCTGCACAAAACAGACGGAAACATCGAGAAGGCAACTTTTGGCTACAGTACTCAGAAGAAGCTTATCTTCTCAGATGAGCAAGAACAAGTTTTGCAGGACTACACCATGGAAGCCTCTTCAATCTGCTATAACCTAGTTCTGAGATAATTACTCAAACTAGTCTACGAAGTTGCTGTCTCCAACACAATTTTAATGCCAGAATCCTGGTCCTCTGCGAAATCTGCAGGAGAAGATTGGCTAAAGGCATTCAGACAACGTCACAAGGACAAGCTATCTCTGCGAAGTCCGGAGTCAACATCACTCAATCACGTACATGCATTCAACAATGTATTGTTTATATATATATATATATATATATATATATATATATATATATATATATATATATAATATATAAAATGATAATATTGAAATAAAAATGCGAGTGGCTCTTTAAATACTTTGAAATTTGGTAAATTGTAATTTTGGCTCTTACGTCTCAAAAGGTTGCCGACCCCTGACCTAAATCATTTACCGAAACTTAATTAACCTGAATACATTTTTTTTTGCATTTACATACATATCATCCACAAAAGAAATAAACTGTGAATGTGACATTGAATTTTAATATAAAGCTAACTTCAACAAAGTTATAAAAACAATTTCACTTTGAAAGAAATAAAAAGAAACTTGCCAATACAAAATCTGAATCCGTCAGTTGAGAATCGTATTAAAGCCAAATTTGTTTCGAGTTTTCTTCAGCTTAAATGTAGACATATATCCGAAAATACCTGTTCCACAAAGGAAACAATAGTGGGTGAGCAATAAATCAA